GGCCCGAGGGGCTGGGAGAGGGTCCGGCCCACGCTGCGCCTGGGCTGGGACTGGTCCCGCCGGCGCAGGGTAGCAGGAAACTCTCCCTCTATGGTTTTTAATACATTGAAAGATTACTGCAGCCATCATCACTTGTAGTTGCAGAATATTTTCGTCAACTTGAAAACTTATACTTTGTAATTATCGACTTTTCTACCCTTTTTGGGCTTAGGCAAATATTAATCCCTTTTCCGGTTCTGTAGCATTACCTATTCTGGACATGACATACAAGTGGAAATGTATAATACATACTTCTGGTGGTTACTTCTCTCATTTTTCACTGTTTTCCAGTTTCATTCATCGTGAAGCATGTACCCTTGCTTTACCTTCTTTTATTGGCAAGGAATATCTTGTTGCCTTAGCATAGCAGATTTTGTTTATACACTCCTCAGTCAATGCACACCTTCATTGTCTTCCTCTTTTGGCTAATGGGAACAATGTTAGTATAGCTGTTGTTCTTGTATAAGTTTGAATTTGAAAACTATTCCTATTTTTTCCATTTAATTTTAGTGGTTATTGGCTCACATTTATTGTATGAAATACTATGTATTTCAGCGTATTATACATATATACATATATACATATATTAAATACTTTGATTAATTTAACTTCCCCGTTACCTCATCTTCTTTCTCTACTCTGCCAGGACTCCATTTCATTTCCCTAATAAATCTCTTATGTATTTTCCAGTCATTTCTCCTTTATTTTTGTAAATATTTTTTGGATATACATATGGGAGAAATGTGATAATTGATTTTCTGAATTTGGTATATTTTGCATAATATGATGATCTTGTTTTCATCCATTTGTCTGTTAAATACATTATTTAACTGACACATTTTTATAAACAAAAATATTCCACTGTGCATATATACAACATTTTATCTATGCATTCATCTATTGACAGGCACCACAGTTAATTTTATTGTGAATTGCACCATTATAAATATGAATATGTGAATGTAACTGTACTGTGATGACTTTAATAATTTTTGGAATATGCTGAGGAGTGGTATAGCTGTATCAGGCATTAGCTCTAAGAACCTCTACACTGACTGTTATAGTGGCTCTATTAGTTACATTCCCACTGACAGGAAGCTTCTTGTTCTACCACATCTTCATCAGCATGTATTTTTTTTATATTCCTAATGATATCCACTCTGACTGTGATAAGACAGAATCTCAATGAAGTATTGACTTGAATTCCTCTGATGGATAAATGTAAATCTGTTTATTTTCTTACTTACTGAGTAAGTATTTGAGTTTTTGGTGTCAAGATTTTTTTGTTCTTTACATATTTTGAACATTAATCCTCTACCAGAAAAGTAGTTTTAAATATTTTCTCCAATTCCGTGTAGGATCTATTCAGTCTTTTTATTGTTTGCTTTCCTGTGCAGAAGGCTTCTAATATGATGTAACTGTGCCATTCTTGTCCTTATTTCCTGCACCATCAGAGTCCTTATTAGCAAGTCACTTGCCCTATGACAAGTGTGTCCCTCTATTTGCTTCTTGCATTTCAAAGTTTCAGATCTTACACCTGCATCTTTTATTTACTTTGAAGTGATTTTTGTACTGAATGAAAGATAGCCATTTGGTTAAATGTTTGATGTTTGGTTTTCTCAGCACCATTTGTTTTAATTATATATTATTTTAATGTATTTGGTACAGGATCTCACTACATAGCCCAGACTCATAATGATCTTCTTATTTTTAGCCTTCCCAGCACTGAGATTACATGCATGCACCTCTACACCCAGTCTCAGTGGCAGGCTCAGCATGCCCGGGGCCTGGGTCAGTGCAGCCTGTGGTCTGGGGTATTGAACCCCAGTCCCTGCCCTTGCCTAAGCAGGCACTTAGTCCACTGAGCTTTGTCACTGGCCCACCATTTGTTTTAGAGAGATTTTTTCTCAAAGTGTATTTTTTGACCCAATTTCAACAATCAGATGACTGAAGCCACACGGGTCTGTTTCTAAGCTATCTGTTCTACTCCACTGATTTATGTGCCTACTTTTGAGCTACAATCATACTGCACTTATTACTATAACTTGGATGTA